CTTTGTACAATAGTTGGTTGTGTTATAAATGTTCCACCACTATTTATTTGTATTTGTGAATTATAAAGTAAAATAAACGTCTTTTGTTGTGTATTATCAATTAACAGACCGTTAACAATAATTTGAATTTCATGAGCAAGGCCGAAAGTTGGTTGTGAACCGCCGAGTATGAGTGTACCATTAACAATAATTTGTGGTATATAATTATTTAATGTCACTAACGTTACGACCACATTTGATAGAATAGCTACAGAACATCCATCTGTTGGTACTTTATTTGATGCCCATGTGGATTGTTGAACCCATGAACCCGTACTATTAGCTAAAACTGGTTCACTGGGCTGACCAGAACAAGCTTTTTAAATAGAGAAAACAACATTGATTATGCATCCATATATATGTATATATATAAATGTTGTAATCGGTCTTACCTGGTGGCGGCGTCGAAGCAATTGAAACATCTTAAGAGAGAATAAGTGGAAAGTGTCTTAAATGAAGAGAAACTAAACTCTACTTACTAAAAGACGATGATGCATTTGTTTGCAATTGATATGGACCAACTGTTACAGCAGCAATTATATATGGCGTTGTATTGGCAGACTTCATTGAATATCGAATTAAATATGTATTACCGATTACAGTTGGAAATGTTTGACAAAGAATTTTACTACCCGTCCAAGTCACATAAGAACCAAGGCTAATTGATGGATTCGTAGAAGGCGTTATAGTCCAACCATATAATGTACCAGTACCATAATCGCCATTTAATAATATATTCTGACCTGTTATTGCTGTTTGATCATAAATATACACCGCATATAAATACCAGTAACTAGCATCACTGCGTAATGAAATTGTTAATGTTGTCCAAGTTGAATTAGCAATAAATGTATTATTATATTGTTGTGTTGTTGTACTCAATGGATTAAATAAATGCAATAGTATTTGATTAGTAGATGATGATGAAAAATCAAGTTGACATATTGTTGGATTGGGACGAGAAATTAAACTTGTTGAACTACTATTAGTTGAATATGTTGCATTTGATAAAGCTAAAAGTAGAAAAACAAAAATACGTTTGATATATCT